AATCGAAATTTCAAGAAACACGAGCCTCGGAGGGGGGGTTGATTTTTTTGTATCTCGCTCAGAAATTGACGTTTCCTATTAAAACCATCCAAATTCGGACACCCTGTACATACAGTTTTGAAATACACAAAAGTCTTATCTTATGGAATTTTACTTTGTTATCAGTTCCGCCACTGAATTACCGCAATAATTATTCCAACTTGAACTTGGTTATTTTTCACAAGCAATACATTTTCGAAAGATATTAGCCCTAGAAATGGAAGCGACTCATAAGATATCCAAACGAAAAGTCAGAGTTCTGTCAGTGCATTGCAGGAACTTCTGGAAGAAATAAGTACGAGAGGTTGTTACCCGAATCAATCAAGGGAACTTGAAAGAGCCAAGAGGGCACGTGACTGTAGAGTATGGCTGAGATCTCGCTCTCCTTTTGATGAACTTCAGCCTTCTTTAGGGAGTTGCACTGTGCGATTTTCAAATCAAACATCGTTTTGGTGAACTGCATAAAAACGCAGACACCTTATCTAGGCGGCGATGGCCAGTTCAATCAAGTTCAATGCAAACTCTGTTTCAGAAATGATCAGCGTGAAAAATTTCCTGTTAGCTTTTGATTCGAAAAAGATCAAGAAGGAATTCCGACAGCTTAGAAGTGATAGTGACTTCAAATCATTTTTAAACCTGACAGGCATAAAATTGTTGAGCATGTGTATAGTTGAAATGATGAAGATGATTACGAGTATGAAGAACATGAAGCAAGAGGGGAGTATTTTCATAGACATGGTTATATAAGGATTCTGCGAGGAACTGGTAGAAGAAAGATGGACAATGGTATATTTATGTAATTATGGATCTGGAGAGTGAAGGTGGTGCATTTGTGCATCTTATCACGAGAATAAATGGTCAGATCGGGACGATTTGATTTGAGAGGGACGCAATGTTATGAAATCACATTGATACAGAGAAGCCGGCAGCACTAGTTAATTCAGGAATTCCATGGTGTAATTTAAATAAACGAACGTTTACGTGATTCTAGAGATGTCTCGAAATTCTCGATTGGAAGCTTTTGGAACGCGTAGTTTGTAAGTCGAATCAATCAGATTCAATGATAGAGAACTATTGTTTAAAGTTAAGTAGAAGCGAGAGGTAAGTTATTAGTGGACCCGCGGAATCCGTGACAGTATGTGTAGCACAATAACAAAAAATGTTAAATAGAGGAAATTGTTCATGACATAGCATGCAGACAGAATAAATAAATAGTAATAACTTCACTTATATGTACAATTTTTTTTTCAATTTCAGGTTTCAGAGGTCGATTTATCAAGACAAAAATGATTATTTTCTATCCTGTTACTAAGTACTAGTGCCGCAGGAGTGCATATGATCTCCTGCTGCTCAAGTGCTTATCAATGGGAATTGAAATTCATCAAGCAGCATGCTGAGGTTTCGAAAAAACTTTCTAGATTATTGGAGTAGCCGAAAACACTAGATTGAAGAGATGCTAGCATAAATCTCAAAGACTGACCGAGTGGTAATAACATCATAGTTTTATTCAGATTGCACCTATTTTTTTTTTAGGCTAGTTAATTATGTATTAGTATTAGTATTAAGTTTTTAGTATTGTATTTGTATTCTAAACAAATATCCACATCAAGACCAGTATGTATGATAGTGATTCTTCTTGAAACTGACTCAGTTTCATTGATTTTTTTTTATTTTTAATGTCGAGGGTTGGGGGCCACGAGAAATTCTTACGGGCCCATGAAAACGATTTACCGCCTATAAAGTTAAAAGCTTTCCCAAATCTTAATTTTTACCGGATTTGAATATGCTCCATATTATGTACCTATCTCGATATGCATTTAATCGCCATATCGATTGGGAGAGGCGGACCTGTGAGCTGGCCTGCCTGCTCTCTCAATCTAAGCCTCCTCGATTACATCCTTTGGTAATTTGAAGTCTCCGATGCGATTTTTGTACTTAGTAATGAACATTTTAATTTTGCCACACGTGAAACACATTCCAGAATTATTCGGAAGGGTTTACCAATTATCTCTGAACCGAACTGTGTAAACTTACATAAATTTACCTATCAATAATTATAAGAATAAATAATCAAGCCGAGCACTTTTCCCCTTTCTTCTTTTTCTCATATTTGTCAACATTGTTCTAGTACAAGATTGTTATTGCCAGCAACCGCCTCGCCTATGATTTTTGGTTGTCCTCAGTACCACTTTCTACTACTGTATATATTTACGAGTTTAGGTTGGCCAACTTAATTTTTTTTTTTAAATTTGAAGTAAAAATTTGGAATCTTTGAACACCTTACGGATGTCACAGGGTCGAAGGGGACTGCATTGTGAAAGACTCTAGTACAGGTGGACTCGATGAAGACACTCCATTTGCAGGAGGTTCTAGACCTTATCGACCAGCGATGATTATGGGCTATCATGACGTCATACTTCATCATTTTTTGAGGCGTGGCATTGCTTCGCGAAAGAAAGTCTTCGTGGTAGCTGGCAAATAAATAGGTACACTTCTTTTGTGAATGCGATGTTCTGTTAGATTGGTTCGGCCAGATATTTTATGTTGCAAAAGGACATCGGCCTTTCCTTCCACAAAATCCATGACTTTTCCTTTTTCTTGCTGGCCTGAATAATCCAAACTCTCTTTGAAATCATCCATGAGTTGTTCTAGAGATAAGTATGCCAACAACAATGTTGTTGCTTTTCTCCCCCTCCAATTGAGCCCTCATTGGCCTCAAGCTGTCGTTTATAAAACATGTTTTGCCGTCGAAATTTGTCAATTTGAGTTGGCCGCGTACCAAGGGGCTCACCGACATCCATTTTGCTGACGCTTTCTTTGGTGCTCAAGGCGAATATTCTACATCTTCAGTTTCCAGCTCGTGTAGAAATGTTTTGCTCGAATGCTTTGACGTCCTATCTCGCTTTTGACAGTTTCTTTTTCGCATTCGACCCTTTCTATTCCGCCTTCAACTTTCTGTTCTAGAGTTACAATTTCTTAACGTATATTGTGGAACAATCCGGTCATGTATCGTTCCTGCACTTCTGGTTTTTCTGTGAGCCGAGACCCGAGCCGACTGAATTCTCGAATGTGCAAAGTTTCCTAGAGCTGACCATTTGGTTTGGTTTATTTGATCCTCCATTTCAGCGGTGTGTAATTACACTCACTCAAATTAAGATTCATTTGTAAACAACACTGTATCACTCAATGATCAACTAATTAGGTAGGTACTGTCCGATTACCAAGTAACAGCCTGAATGCTTTTTATTTATGGTTTCAATCCTTCCCTCTAATTATTCTATTGTATTGATAGTTTTCTTGATGCGTTTTCGTCTGAATTGCATTCGTCAGAAATCGGTCGAAAAAGTGCGAATAATCCCATTTCAGTGAAACCCAATGACTGTTGTACATTGTACCCGAAATTATTCGTGCGAATACGGACGAAAACATGCGATTGCGATTGATCCAAAAAAAAATGGATTTTTCGCAGTAGTTAAAATTCTGACGATTTGTGTGTGTTGACTGGGTTACTGAGAAGATACAAGATAGAGATATGGATATCGGAAAATTGATCAATTTGATATGGAAAAAAAACCTTTGTGGGTTATGACCGTCATATTATATCACATGAGAGACATGCAGAGAAAATTCATCCTTCTTTAAATCATCATATAAATGAAGGAATTCTACGAATTATTTTCGTATTGCTAAAATATCATTAACCCAGCGCTTTTTTCTTTTTAACGAACGCCATTTAACAAGATAATTATATTCTCCAGAAGATAATCCTCCATATATAACTCCACTACGTAAAGACTATGCGAAGTCTGCAAAAATTTGTCCAGTGGACAATATCACATATGCGAACTCTGACGACATTATTCCTCCTATTTTTGACGGTTGCAATTCGGACGAAAACGGATGCAAAGGACGACCGGCCTTAAGTGCATTCAGATTGCGAATTTGTATTTGGAAACAGTGGAGGAGTGGTGTTGCCCGATTGTGAACAATTTCGCACTTCGTATAGTTTATAACAGAAGTAAAACTATAAACAATGGGTATAACTTATAAATCTCTCAAGTGGGGGCAATTGTGCACAATCTTGCAAAACTGTCTGATGATTAAAAAATTCTCGAATCGAAATTTCCGCCCAATTCTCCAGCGAATGCAAATCGAACAGAAGCCAATTTGCCTTCGGGCCCTAAATCAGAGTCTGCTATCGAGAAAAAAAATCAGTGATAAATTAAACGCCAGTGTGTCAAGAATCAGTTAGTTGAAAGCAACTCAATAGTGAGTTTCAAGTTGCAAACACACCCTGTCGAAATGGCGGCTTGTCAAAGTTGTGTGGTTTTAACCTCATAATAACAAAACAACAGATTTTTCAAGTGAATAAACATGAACCCTTACAAAATGAACTGTTGAATGAAACCACACAATCCAGATACTTGGAAAAAATAATTTTTCCCAACTTTGACAAGCAGCCATTTCGGCAGGGTGAATACTAGCAAATGGGGATATAATCTTAATAAAAAAAGCTACCAAATGACGTATCACTCGACCCCCCCCTTTCCATTTAAAATTTTGGGGGTGACAGGTAAGGGGTGAAAATAACAATTGAATGTGTTCCCCAAAAAACTAAAATTGACGTGTCCGAGCGATTTTTGATTAATCACCTAACACCTGAGAAATCCAGGGTGGGACGTTTTTCGTGCATCACCCTGTATGTATAAGTATTAATGAATCAAACCCTAATTCTAGGCAATGGCCTGTGTACGTATGGTAGATATTATTAGCTACAGATTGGTAAAATTATTTTATAATTGATATAAGAAATCAAATGTTATGTAACTTTAGTTCTAGTAAATCATCGTCATTATCAGCTCTTAATTCATATTTTGGATTCAAATAACATCTCACTTACATTTGGTTACAATTCAATTGGACACATTTCAAGATTCCTGAAATCGTCAGCCTAAGAGATTCCACTTTTCATGAACATCATAAATACAGCAGTAAAAACAAAAAAAAATACACAACTATTAGAAAAATTTGTCTTTATTATAATAAGAAATTAAAGCACACTTGGTACAGACATTTCCAGAAGTTTTTTTTCCAAAAAGTATGCTGCTGAAAGTGAAGAAGACAATAACTAAGTACTATCTTACCAGGTTGTTATAATAGTAGTGTCAAACATAAAGACGTAATTTTTCCACTTCTTATCAAACAAAAAAAATAAGTAGAAAATAATGGCACTAATGGAACGAGCCATAAACTTATTCAAATTTCAAGTTGGAAGTTGATGGATGTTCCACTGCAAAATGCAGTAATAAATGCTTTGAAAATAATAAAATATATGATGTTGAAAAAAAAAAACAAATACTCTGATTTCTCAGTAAATTCTATGAACTTATGGATATCTTATTCATTTGGCATTCATTCTCTCCGCTGCACATTCACTCGCTGCGAGTTCATAAGTTTTACGGTATTTAGGTAGGTAGGTTTCTTTCTATTATTAATAATAAACTCGCCTCTCCCTTCCCCCCTTTCCTTCTCCAAACTAATACAACCCTGAGTGTTGGAAGTTGGTAAATGTCAAACTGGCAGTTGTTATATTATTTGAAATTTTATTTTACCTACATGTACTTACTCTGCAACTGTGAACCTAATGAAATTGAAAAAAATGAAATACTTTATAACTACTTGGAGTGCCAACAATCATTTCTCTCAATGCAGTTTAGAATAACAAATTTCAGATGGATTCTCACATATGTGACTATGCATCAACTGTGTCAGCACTGTTCTGGGTTGCAGACAAAGACTAAGTAGTTATGTTTCTTTGTCCACCAGTTCAATTTTTGTTTCCGACAATTCAGATAAATTTCAATAACTTTAATCCAACACTAATTCCAAATTATTATTGTGGGAGATAATTCAAAACCTACTAGTGAGTTATATGGGTTACAACTCGCTAATTAGTAACTATTGAGTTAGTATATTTGAAAATTCCTTTTTTTTTAGAACCAATGCGTTAAGAAGAACTTTCTTCAGGTAAGGGCAATGAAAAAGGACTCTTCTTTCTTTTGAGAAAAACAGATGTATTTTATATGTATTTTTTTTTTTTCGAAGTTTTCATAAAACTTGAACCTTAATTTTTTTTTTCAATCTCACTTAGAAATTGACGATTTCTATCAAAAATGTCCAAATTGGCCCACCTATGTGTGAATCCACTATTTTTCTCAATTAAGATAAATAACAGAAAAAACGAATACCTAATTCTCATCAAGTTTTGAACTAGATGTCAGAATAAGAGAGAAACAGAAAAGGTGTTCTGCCAGTTTGTCATTTTATTTTCAAAAGCCCTAGTTTGGGTATATTCACAATCCGGTGGGATATACAAACCAGGTAGATAGTAAACTACTTTTTGAGCCAAAAATTACAAAAATCTTTTAAAAAAATATCCAAACTTACTTGGGACTCGTAAAAAATATAAATGGACTGTCAGTACATGACTAATGGGGGGTAACCCCATAGTTCAAATTTGTATGTTCCGTATCTCACTGAACTTAAAGCAGGTACGGCGGTCTACTACAGTCTATCACGTGCGGCTAAATCGCACTGTCAGATGCTTACTTATTATCACAAAATGTAGACTTTTTGCTTCAATCTACCTCAACAAATACAAAAGTATTAAAAAATCAAGCGCAGTATATTCTTAACACTAGGCCTAGACTGAAAAATTTAAGAACAGAAAATTAAAAACAATATTTTTTTGGCAAATTCTGGATCACAACCTTTATACGCAAGGTATGTCATCATAACACACCTCTCAACATAAATATCAAATAATTTGGAAAATAAACAAATGGATATGTATGTATAAAGTTGGTCACCTGGAACAATGACATTTAAATTTTGTTAACATTCTGAATACATAATAAAAAGCTTGTTTTTATTTTGTTCTTAAATTTTTTTAGTCTATCAATATAAAAATTTATAAAAAAAACTGAACAACTCTTCTTTTTTGTGCTTATAAACTGAAATTAACACAACTAAATGGCATAGTTAACGAAATCTAAATAAATTTTCCTCTAGGAGTTGGGTGATATGATTAACAAATATACAAAACAATATTAGTACTTAAATATATAAAGATATTGAAAATAAGTCAACAATTTATAAAAAGCAATATTTCTTTTTTTTTAAATCCAAAATAAAAGGAGTTCTACTAAAATCCTAGTGAGTAAGAGTTAATAAAAATACAAATATAAAAGAGACAGTGTTCTGGACAATATTTCCATCTTGAAAATTTCTCAATGACTTGAGTATGTTCCCTAAAAAAACATTAAAATTACCACATCCACCGTGTGTTTGCTAAGTTCTGCCTCTTTTATCTTTATTCAACCCACTCATCAAAATCCTAGTTCCTCAATACTTATATTTGTATTTTCTCATCACCCAAACCAAGAACTCTTTGTTGGCGATCTTAACTAGTTGTTCACTGCCAGCAGCAATAGAATGGCTGTTAGGCTGTGGCGATCTTTCTAGCAAGTAGCACTGGTAATGGCCGTGGTGGCTGGGTGGGGCTGTAGGTAAAGAGAACGACCCTTAACGCGGCGCTGCATCAGCTGACTCTCGCTAGGTGGACTCAGACCGAATAAGATGGAGGATGCACATGTGTTAGTGTGAAATGGCCTGCCATCCTATAATAGAAACAATATTCATATATTCAGTTTATGGATAATATATAATGATGGGTTGATCGGTGAGGGTTGAGGCATTGTACTAAAATTGCAGCTGGTTTAATTTGAATATGGAAAATTTGTGTAGGCATCACTTAAATTATTTTACTATCAAGTTCCGGAATTCGAATGTCGAATTTTTTTGCCAAAAATCTTAAACACTAATAGGGGATAGCCAAATTAAAAAAAGACGTTCCTTGGCTGAAAGGTAGTATAGATATCTACAGTGTGTCCAGGCAGAGTTTTGTCAGTACATATTATTATCCAGGATGACAATAATTGCGTCCAGTAAAAGAAGTTTTTATTTGGAAAATCATGGCCATTTTTTCAAAGACAACTACCTTACTTAAGCGTCTTTTCCGACATTTCCGGGTCTGATCAGTTTAGAAGTAAAAAATTGAAAATTCCTAAAGTTGAAATTGACACGAGAACTGTTTTTTGAATATGTTTACAAATAGGATTTATATATTAACCGTTTTTCTCTAAACAAACCACTTGATGTCTCACCATTTTGCTTTGAAAATTAGCTCTTTAAGTATCCAGTTAATTAAAGGATATTGCTACCAAAAAATATAACTGTAAGGCTACTTAACTTCCCTTTCTCAACCATGTATTAATTAAAGTTAGAAATGTTTTCTTTGATGCAAGGGTTTTTATTATGGGAGCAAATCCAGTAAACATAAAATTTCAAAGAATTTATTTCTGAAGGTAGAAACCTAACAACAAACACTCTTTCCTTTTGTTACTTTTTCAAAGAACTATTTGTGAACAAAAATTCAATAAAAAAATGGTTATAAAAACAGAATCATTATATTACCATTATATCATAGCTCTTTACAATATGTAATTGAGTATTTGAAAAATTCGCCTCAAAAAAGTGTTTAGGGATTTATCTATACTACAAAGCCACCACTCTAAATGAACTAATGCTGCATTATTCAATTCTATTAAATAATTAAGAAATTAATACCAAAACAGATTAAGATTCATAGAATATTTAAAACTTTATAAACATAAAAAAATTGAGCAGGAAGATATATATTTTAGTATTTGTGTCTTTTTGGCATGATATAAAGTTGTTGTTTTTAAGTAGCACACAAATAAATAAGTTTTTCCTTACCCTTGAATAGATCTTGGGCTTTTCCAAATAGTCGAGCTTAATGCTGAAATGTTGCTGAACCACTCTGTTGACCGCCATTGCCGACTCAGCAAATTGGGACAGTTCCCTAGCCGAATTGTTCTTTTTGATTACAGACGGTGTGACTAAAGGTGCAGCGTCGCTGGCACATTTTAGCCAGGGATGTTGAAGTACCTGTCAATTAAATTTCATTATAAGCTTATCTCCTTATTTTTGAGAAGTCCATACAATGACATCAAAACACAGATAGACGGATCATCCCAGTCATAAACTGTTATTTGTTGTGTTGACAAGACCACCCATGGGCCAGGGGAGGTGAGTTGCTCGCGGGGTCGGGGTAGGGAGACATCATTGCTCAAAATGGTGTAAAAAACCCCGCCCACACGTGAATATATCTCGAAATTTAATTGGATGAATAAATAAAATAACAAATTGACAAATAAACTGAAAATATTCGATACGAGCCCTTTATTCTGGGAGTACCAATATCGTATCGGTCGTTTCTTATTTAACGCTAATAAATAATCCCTGTTTGCGATAAAGATAGCTAGCTACTCCAACAAACACCTGCCTGCCATTCAACAAGCCGCTTCTGGGCGGTGTTTTGCTACAATCTGCTGTTGCCAAATTGAGTTCAGGAGTAAAATTGAAAACGTTAATTAGAAAAGGATAAAAATATATTATTTAGGGTTCCAAGACAAAATTTGGCATTCTCAGTGGTGGGGATAGCACAAAGACCCAAAAGAGACAGAGAGATGTTGTCATACGAAAATCTTGTTTATTGTTCGGTCTATCTGTGTTTTGATGTCATTGAGTCCATACCTGTTGTGCACTCAAACGCTTTCTAGCATCCTTGATTAACAAGTTCGCAATCAAGTCCTTCGCCTCGGAAGAAATATTTCCCCACTCGGCATCTGGAAAATCATATTCACTCTCTTGAATACTGTGGAATAGCAGCGCTTGACAAGCGTTGCAATTTTCGCCTCTTTCCCAGCCGCAGTCCCCACCGCATTTACCATAAAATGGTGGATACCCTGAGAGCAAAATGTAGGCAATCACACCAAGGGACCACAGGTCGCATCTCTTATCGTAGGCCTGAGTATCTGCATCTCCAATAAAAGCTTCCACGACCTAAAAGTATTTTATCTATTAATAAAAATGGTATAAACTTCAATTGGAAACAGGAAAGTGTAAAAAACATATTTCAAAGAAATTAGGTCCTTTGAACTGTTGTTTTTCGTTTAACCTCGTTTTTTATTTGAACCGAGTCTGTGTGACCCACGAATCCCTAACAATGTGCTGCGCAACAGCTTGTTGTTAGCAAAAGATGAGTCTTTCTAAGAGACTATTTGAAAAATAAACACCCCACAACTGTGTTTTGGATCAGACATAGATATAGTCGTAAAATATAGCCAAGATAAAACAGCATGGCAGGATGAAACTAAGTATTGTTATCACAGCACAACAGATGCAGATTTATACCAGAGGCAAGTTTTTCAATAATTTTAAATAGTGCCTCATATCACAGACTGACAAATTGAAACTATTCCAAACTTCTCTTCCACGAAAGAAAAATTAAGGCAGTGGGTAAATAATCATAGAATTTGAAACGATAGTTTGGTAGTTTGCCACGCCCGACCCCTAGACTTAAAAGTGGAAGCTAATAGGGGACCACATGATTTTTCCTCCATCTCCAAAGTGTTTTTGTATAAAATTGGAATCAAATAAATAACTGAGTTTCTCTTTATATCTAAGGGGTCTTTTTGTTTTAAATCGTTTTTCATTTTATTTAAAAAGTGGGTTCGTTCAAATTTGATTTTGATTAATAATTATTTGGCAAATGTAAAATGTTGAAAAATATTGGTATTATTTATGTTATCTTTTAAGCACCTTGGGAACACGAAAAATATAAATGACCAGCGAATACATGTAAATTAATTATGCAATAAACATTCCTTTTATTGTATTACGATTAATTGTTGTCAATAAATTATATTTAATAATTAAACAAAACCGTTTGTCGTCTCTTAATTGAATAGTCAAAGCTGCCTAGTACCTTTTCCTTTCAAGTAAAATATTGACAAGGGAAATCATAAAGAGAAGGAATCGACAGGGGGGTTAACAAAAAAAGGGACCAAGTGGTGAGCTGTGAGTCAAGCAGAGGGGAAGAGGGGTTGTTTTTAATTTTTTGTGTGTGTACACGGATTTTGGTAAGCCTTTGGCCGATAAAAATAATTATTATTGATGTATACTGTGGATAACCTGTTATTCATGAATCATATCATATTGCACGCTAGTGTAGAACCTCATGGAAATGTACTATGAGTGTACATCTATTGCATGTTGGTGTAGCAAGCCTCTATGGGCGCCTTTCCTTCAAGTTGTGTCTTGCCTTACTTGCGACTTTATTGACTCAAATAGGTATAGCGGAGTAGAGCAAACACCCCAATACCCAATTTGTTGGGATACTGATTGTTTAGCGGCAATTAAGTATTCAGGGAACCCTTGACTTATTTTAGGGGGGCACTAGCTAGTCGTCGAAGAAAGAAGACACAAGAGAAGATTAATCCTGCTATTTTAATTATATTTTTAACCAGAAATATTAAGTAATGTTTTGTCAGTATGACCAAGAGACAAGGGGTGGTTAATTGCATTTTTATTGATTAGTATACAAAAAAAGTAATTCTTTCATTTTATTTCATATGGTTCCTGACAATCTTTTCTGGCATTATCTTAACTGAGGAATAAATCCGCATTGCGAAAACCCACTGAAAATTTGTCATTGAGAGATAAAAAAGGTTAGTTTTACATACAGGAATTAAAATGTTGAGAATACCTCTTTGTCTATCATAAGTCAGCAATTCTCTGACTGATTAGCATGTGCGACCTCTCTTTCATCTCTTAATTTTTCTAGCTTCCAAAATCTTGGGCTTGAAGATTAACACTGCGACTTGAAAAATTTTGCAGCAAGTTTGATCAAGTTGAGGTGTGTGTGCCATTTAGTTTTTTTGAACAGATAATAAAAATATGAGGTTAGCAGTCTTTGACAAGACCAAAGTCAATAAAATTATTGGTCGATGAATAAATATGTAATCTAATATATGCCCAGTGACTGAAATATTCGAGTAGCATGGCCCTAAAGGAATAATCTAGCAAGCGAATTGCTGATCGGCGTTACCAGAGAATTATTGGTCAGTGTTACTGGAGTATTATTGATCGGTATTTACAAGAGAACTGTAGGTACTTCATGCTCCAGAAAATTAGAGAAGGCTTAAAACAGTATATGAGCAGCCCGCGACGAGGGTGGAAATGAATTTGAAATTGGAAAGTAAAGCGATCAGATATATTGATATAGATTGAATAGTTAAGCTCAATTTAATTACTTTTTGTGTTGTACCTAGTAGAGCATGTTTTGTGTAGATTTTTGTGTTATTGTCTAGAATATTATAGAAAAAAAAAAACAATTTTGTATCAATATGTTGTTCGTAATATATGTGGAGTGGTATGTAAGCTTACCTCAGGAGCCATAAACTCAGCGCTGCCAACTGGTGTTAATAACTGGGGAGTGGTCAAAGGACTGGCAACACTACCTTGGAACCGGATGCCAGATCCCAAATCAAAATCGCATATTTTGATAGGAGAAATAAGATCCTTGTTCACACACAAAATGTTCTCTGGTTTAAGGTCTCTATGAGCGATTCCTTTAGCATGCATGAAGGCTAGAGCAGACGCTACCTCGCGGACAATTTCCGCAGCTGCAGCTTCACTGAAATACTTGTACTCTTGGATTCTCCTCAACAATTGACCTCCATTGATCTTCTCGAAAACCAAATAGAATTTTTCTTCGTCTTCGAAAAATTCAGTAAGCTGAATTATATTTGGATGACCCTGGCAATAGTAGAAGGTCTCTACTTCCCTGAAGACCCTGGCCCGGGCATGGCCAGGTACTTTTTCGATTATTTTCACGGCATACTCCAGGTCAGTGTACAGATTTACGCAAGTTTGGACACTTGCGTATGCTCCTTCGCCTAAAACCTCCCCCGTCATCTTGTAAAGATCTGCAAAAAAAAATGGTTTTAAAAACAAAAATAAATATTATCGAAAATGTTTACCCATTTTGTTTGTTTGTAGAATAATTAGGTAGATCAAATTTCGAGATAAGTGACGATCTACTATACCATAGTATAAGTAGAGAAACAATAAATTATTAATCTGAATTGTTTCAGGAACAATATTACACAAATAAACGAAAAAGAATTTAAGCTTTTGTCAAAATCATTGATAAAAATGCAGGTTCCAGACATGTTATAAATGAAAATGGACAGATGACTAACTATAGTATAAGTAGTGAAACACTAAGTTATTAATCTGAATTGTTTTAAGAACAATATTACATGGATAAACGAGAAAGAATTTAAGCTTCTGTCAAAATCATTGATAAGAATGCAGGTTTTAGATATGTTATAAATGAAAATGGACAGATGACTAACTATAGTATAAGTAGCGAAACAATAAGTTATAAATCTGAATTGTTTCAGGAACAATATTACATGAATAAACCAGAAAGAATTTAAGCTTTTGTCAAAATTATTGATAAGAATGCAGGTTCCAGACATGTTATAAATGAAAATGGACAGATGACTAACACAAGGCATTAGAAAGCTTTTGGTTGTGTGTGTGTTCCAATTATTTTTCTACCGTGATTCAAGAGAAACCCACTACAGCGAAAGATTTAATTTGCTACCAGTTTAAACTATGTAATCAGATTGAGATTTAAACTTTTTATTAAAAAATTTAAATGATATATCGAAATTCCAAATTAATGCGTAGGTACCTATTTTTTCAAGTAAACGCACATGCTTGGTAGATACTACAGCACTCAAATGAGGTGTAATAACGGTAAATTCTGGTATCAATACCATTTAATTAATTTTAGAATCAGAAACAGATGAAGAAACCTGCCTTGGGAGTACTCAAATTCGGCAGGTAGTTGTGTTTAATATGATATATGCATAAGAGGGGGGTTAAAATATGGTTATTATTCTCATAAATTATCTATTAAAACTGAGAGCTAGGGAAGGAGACATACATTAAAATTACCCCACAAGTCACTGTTAATCCTACTATTTTATAGTTCTTTATGCAGACAGAGGCATGGATTGAAAGTAAAATCGTTTTATGATCAGCAAATTATTTACAACATGGATTGGGGAAAATTTATAAAAACAATATTGATAATCGAATAATAATAAAAACATTTACGCCAAATTAATACTATTTATAAAATATCGAAGGTTACGAAATAGGGCTGGGTCAAATAAGAGTCGAAAAAGCGATATTTCAATAAAATTGTTTATCTGCTCACCCAATTAGGTAATAGCGTTGATTGTAATAGTCCCTTGAATTCAATAATCGTAAACAACAAAAATTGATTTCAAGAGCAATCTTTAATTATTTACTTCAACTTTTGCAACAGCAAATACAACGTAATTTTTGTTTTCAAAGATATGGAGAAAAGGAGAGAACTAAATCAACTTGTCAAAAAATAGTTATTTGTATACCAAGGCCGCAAAGTGCCTTTTAGCGTACGTAGAGAAAAGTTATCGCCGAGGCCGCTTGCGGCCGAGGCAAGATAATCTCGAGGACGCTAAAAAGTTTCGCGGTCATGGTATACACACTATTTTTTGTGCAACCATGAAAATTATGTGGAATTATAGAAAAAATGTACTCCTTTCAACAAACATGTGGAACTAATTACCAGTTTGATGTATAACCTGGTGGCTATGGTGGCACAGCGTTTCCATGGATGTCATGGATGACATATTTTGCAAGTAAACAAATACACAAAAAATTTTGACGGTTCTCAAAAAATCGTGAAAATATCCGACAGCGATACAGATGTTTCACTCTCTTGCACTCCTCCAGAGCTAAAAAATATGGTTCAATCAGCTATTTCTGAGTTAATACCTGGAAAACTAAGCGGCAATATGAAAATTGTTACTGCGAGTTCAAAAAATTGGTGTGACAAACAAAACGTCAAAATGGTGTCTGAAAGCATATTGGCTAATTTAATGCCGAAATGGGAAGTTTTGAGAGTTCAATTCAAAAACACTGGATTATTAGTTGCTTCAGCTTCAGGAGTAAATATTAGTAATAATGCAAACTGTCATGTAAGTGTTAATATTTATCCTAAATAATTTATGTTGTTCTGAAGAATTTGGAAATAAAATTTACTTATTGTTGTTGTCAAAGTGTCAAATTTTGATTTATAGTTTCGCGGCCGTCACCAAGGGCAACGGCCGCGAAATTGAATTTCGTGGACTGTGTGGCGGCCGCGAAAGCTCATTTTGCGGATGGTTGCACAAAAATATTATTTTCGAACCTTGGAAGCATTATCAAGCTCAAGAAATTTAGTTATTGTGATAATAATTAAGTAGCATTTTAATCGCCAAATTGCTAACAGGCTTGGATATTGATTTTTTTTCTTAGTACAAAAATAAACGAGTAAAGTGGGTGGTAATGATTGGGATTTTATTTATCAAGACCAGATGAAGGCAATTTTTACACGTCAATGAAATAAATATAGGAGTGATAGCTAGAGTGATGGCCATTGATTGTTATAACTTCTGTCGAAAGTCAATTGGCACTAAAATTTAAATATCCAAAAGTTATTATGTATTCATTTATCCTTTCTATGCAATATAATCCAGCACTCCCAAATGTTTCAATATCAAAAACCAGCTTATGTGTGCGTTCAATTTATCTTGATAACATTTAATTTCGCTGTAACTTTTTTGTTTTTAAAGATATCAAGGTAAACAAAAAAAAACAAAATGTAGGGTTGATAGCAAATTATTTTTTTCAAGTTACACATAAAACAAAACACTTTCAATTTTCTGACATATAAGCCTACATTATATTTTTTTAAATGGAACATATGTATTTAATAGAATATCTTATTTCGATTAAAATGATATAACACACTTCATATTTTAGTCCACTCGTTTTTGACAAATTTCATATTTTTGCCGATTTGTCAAAAACGAGTGGACTAAAATATGAGATGTATTTTATCTTTGTAATCGGAATAAGATATTATAATATCAAATATGTACATATATATTATACAGGGTGTTTCATTTAAAAATTGAACGCACAGTACTCTCGGGTTATGAACTGAATTGTACAACAGTCTGAGAGGTTCAGATCTTTGTTTGGCTTAATTACCTAGGAAGGCGTTTAAAGGTAGAATTGCACAACCTGGCCAAAGAATCCTAATGATCGGCAGAGTGTTCAAAAAAGAGACTGACTTAACACCAAAAAATATCTTTCTAAAACACACTCAGACCCATTACTTTTTTTTACCTGCCAAAGACCCCTTTTTAAGTATCATAAATTAAGACCCTTTTGAAACCCAATCCTTATATTTTTATGAAGCCTCTTGAAAATATTGGGTTTTGTTTCTGAATCAATTTATCTGCTATTCTCGCTGCTACTTTTTCGTCATTATTACCTAATTGACAAATGACAATAATACTTGTCAGATGCTTGCTTAAATTTTCATTTCCTCACATTTTCATTCCTTGAGAAAATTTCACGAGTGCCCAAATGAAGAAGTGTTGTGTGAGTGTCCCTGTTTTATTTGCAGTGTTGCCAAGCTGGTCCTACCTAATAATACCAATTTGTGCACAATAATTACCTCATTTCAGTTAATTGAAGCCTACCAATATAATTATGATAAATAATTTGATTCTTTAATCAAATTATTTTCAAGTATTTTATGAAACAAACAAAGCAGCTTTAAAACTCAAGAGTACTTTAAAAATAGCACGAACAATAGTAATATATCGATAATAATTAATTTATTAATTGCGCAGTACATTTTCACCTATCATTATCGTTTCCTACCTCTAATTTAAATTTATGGTTTTGTTATGGATAAGTGTGGTTTTTATTGCCCATAAGAAATTTATGTCACCATCTTGTGAGCCATCAAAAATTTTATGATTGTATGTAAAAGTATTTAATCATGTCAAATATAAATATCACTGAACTTTATTAAGAGGATAATTTTTAAACTTTTTGAAAGAAAGCAACCTCTCATACAACAATTATTGATATATAGGTAAATTGAATTCAATCGACAAGGCTATCGAATTTCTAAACAAGATGAAAAATATTACTTTGCCAAACCTGAAATTGGCACGCCGGGCGGCGATAATATTATTTTCCTCGTTAACATGTTATCGCTTTTTAAAACCAATTTAAATTTTTTGTTTAATTGTGTGCAGTTTTTATTACTCATAAGAAATTTATGTATCTATGTAATGTGTGCTGTACCCTGGACCGTCAACAGTTTTATTGGATATTTAAAAATTATTTATAGATTTTTACATGCATTGAAAGTATGAAAGTGCCAAAAACCAAATTATTGCTAGTTACAAAACGAAGAAAATAGCGATTAAAATTCTCAAAAGGAAATGGTCTCTATCCACAGCTACAAATAAGGATAGGGTCACTTTACGAGAACGATGTAGGAAATAAGGCATCTAGGATTCGGCCAGCTTCAATTTTAACTGTCCCAGACACCCTGTCTCTAACTCTAAGCCCTACGTGTCTTTTACAGCTTCCCCTGTAGTGAAGTACATACTACGTCAGTCAAAAATCCCACCCGAATTCGTTTGATTAGCATAGTCGGTATATTGTGACATTTGTTACATTAATTTCCGCGTTTCCGCATTTAGAAATACTATTTATTAGATATCCATTTTTTTTTTGGGCCTTAAAGCTAGAGTGAAAAACGCCCACAACGAAATGCTCGCTATAAATACCTGTGCCTAAGAGTAGTTGTTTTGAAAAGGCAAAAAGATCCTCAGGAAGAGTTTCTCGTCAAAGAGGTACAACACTTTTCCAAAGCTTAGAGCCAGTTTGTGGCCTAATGAAGAGCCAGGATAGGATGCTAGCTTAGGCAAAAAGTTCATATCCATCTCAGCAAAACCATCTGAATAATTTCTCAGGCATGAGAAGTCGTCGGCCTGCTTACTGGTTACATTGCCTA